GTCGGGCCGGGTCCGTCCCGCGCCGCTGACGCCGCGCTCTCCTGCAGGTACGTGCTGTGCGAGGTGGTCTCGGAGGACCCGCGGTGCCGGCAGTGCATCGAGGACCGCGCGGTGGGCCTCGCCGTCAGGGACGCCGTCGGGCGGGTGCACGGGGACTACGGCCTGGCCTGCTGCTCCATCTCCTTCACAGGTGCCGGCGGGACGCGCTGTCCCCGCCTCCCCGGGCCCCTCGGGGAAGGGCCGGTGCGCGGGGTTCCGGGCTCACCGGTGCGCGTGTGCCCCCGCAGTGAAGTACCTGAACGCCTACACTGGGACCGTGCTCCTGCGGTGCCGCAAGGACTCCTACAGGCTGCTCTGCTCCGCGCTCCCCTTCGTGAGGCAGCTGGAGAGCCGGAACCAGCGTTACCCCTGCTCCCTCAACACCTTGCACGTCGGAGGTCAGCCGCTGCCTGAGCTGCCCCGGTGCTGGGTGCGGAGTCTCTGGTGCCTGGGGGTGGGGGGGAGGCCGCGGAGCTTAATCGTACCTTCCAGGCCTGCTAAAACGGAAGAATCCCATCTTACTGCTGCGGGTGCGAGAGACCCCATCTTATGTGTCGCTAACTCGGAAGCTTCTAGCAGAGCTAAATAAGAAACAGGCACCAGCAGTTCTTTGTTGAAACCCTCATTAATTCTGCTTGAATCTTCATTACATTTAACACAAAACCAGAGTAGCAAATACTACATTACATTATTTTCTTTTAAAAATATATTTTCAAAGTATAGTATCATCCATGCCCTGAAAATTAACCACTTGGGGCAAATAATGGACACTACATGTTAGAAATTATTATTCCACCACTTAACCTCAACAGTGGGGAAATGAAGTCTACAGCCACTTCTTAGCACTTGCATTAGTAAAGTTGTTGCCTGGGGCATTTGTTGCTTGATACAATGATGTTCAGAAAATACACTAGCAGCTCTGAAACACTTGGGTTTGTAGATTGTTACATATTGTTCTTGTGACTCCTACAGGTACTATAAGAACATGTCAGAAATTTCTAATTCAGTATAATAGAAGACAGCTGCTGATGTTGTTGCAAAACTGTACAAATGAAGGTGAGTTCCTCCAGCCACTTTCCTAAAATGCGGACTCAGTTCCTGGGGGTTTTGTTGGATATGCTGGGCTACTTCTGAATTCTTGAACCAAGAAATGTTCCTTCCTGTAGAAGTTGAGGATATTCCAGTGTATGTGAAGAGATCAAGTAATGACCCTCTGTTGCTCTCTTTATTGCAGAGGAAAGACGGTGTATACAGAAGTCCTTGTTGAGCTGTTCCCTTACAGAAGAGCAGTCTCAAAGTGGAGATGAAGATGATGATGGCCCAGAGACAGACTGAACGTTACTAGTTACTGTTCACCTCTGTCCTGTACTTGTGTAATCAAGATGTTACCAGTTATCTTCAGAGTTAAGCAAAGCAGGGGACAGAAAAGGCATCTGTTTGTATTTAGACTTCATTCCCCCGTTCTGAGTGTTCTTAAATAAATAAATTTTAAAAAATACGGTTTTACTTAAGTAGTTTACTTGCCTGTTTCACCCCAGGAGTCAAAACCACCTGCACTCCTAAGGAGTGTAGCAGCTCAATGTGATCTTCATGCTGAGGTAGAAGTGAGCTTTAGGCAGTTGGCGTAAACAAGGAATGTAGTTATTCTCCTCGAGTACAGAAAAAGCATTAACATCTTACTGTTTTTTTTACCTTATCTTCAAGTGCACCTGTTATCCATAGGGCTATCCATGGTTTTGAGTCACAAAAGCACCAGTTGTGTACACAGGAGCAGAGATTACAGGGAACGCAAGGTAGAGCTGTAAGGCTCAACTCCATCCGACCCATTATAAAACTCATAGGTACAAGTACTGCTTAGATATTTATTAAGTTTACACCAATCAGTTACAGGAAAGTAGTGTGTTGCTGGTATTATCTCGAATCCATAGGAAAACAAGATAGAGCTTGAAGATGCTGCCCTGTGGAGACTGTTCCTGCAGAAGGGACAGTCTTCCTTGCCCGCATCTCTTCCCGTACTTGTTCTAGTGCCTGTGAGATGTGGAGGTGAGCTACACCAGCTCCAGCTATTCTGTCTCTCTTCCCAGTGCAAAGAAAAGTTGACTATAAATGTGTAGAGATAATAGAACACAACAGATACTGGTTAGACACCAAGTAATTACTCCTGTTCCATGGCTTAAAATGACTATTACAAATCTGAAACAATAGTACTGTGAACGCAGTTAACTGCATACTTGAATCTTAGTTGCTTTCTCTGCCCTCACCAATAATTTTCCAATGTGCACATAAAGCAAGATGTGTTACCACTTTCAGGCATCTTGTCTTAGTTTCTTTGCACTCTCTTGGCAAGCTGTACTGTCTTTCCATCAGGTGTAGTTAATTGTGACCAAGCATGAAGTCAAGCTGCTTTCAAAGAATGTTTTGCAAGTGTTTCCTCCATCCTCCTGTAGCAGTTGAAGCATTCTTTACGTCCCCCCTCTCCCCCTTCTTTCTGGTTTACAGCCGCATACAGAGCTTTGTGAAGTGTACTTGTTGGTACTAGCTTCCCATGCGCACACGCTTAAGTGCCTCGAGGAAGCACTTGCATAATATGGAGCCTACTGCTTTGAAATCAAGCATCGATGTATTGACATGAACTTTTTAAATAGGGACACAACCAATGGCTTTACCAGTGGTGTTAGAACACCTGACTCCAGAGGTCTCAAACACACGCTTCCTTGCTCAGATGGGTCACAGTGTCGGAGGGAGAGAGCACATCAACTTTTTAAAGCCTGTGCAAATGCAGGCAGGCCACTGGTGCAGGCAGGGCTGAAGATAACAGAAGGCAGCTGTCAGTCTTGCACTGTAAGTTAGTGCCAGCTCCCCAGCATGAATTCTGTCAGTAGGAAGGTAAGATTTGAATCTGTGCAACTAAGTGGTATTGTGCTCCACGTTGATATGACAGTTCAGGTATAGCTCAGGAAGTGTGCAGCACTGCAAGTGTGTGCGTATGATTTATTGCAACTGTTGGCCTTGACTGGTACATTACACCTATAGTTAATTTTATTCAACAAAATCCACACCACTTAATTCATTCGCTCAAATCAAGCCACAAGCAGTGCAGAATGTGACCACCCAAAGAAAGAGCGGCGAGGGGTCCAGAAGAGGCATGTTTATAGCCTGAGGTGCTTAGTGCAGACCAATTTACATCCCAGAACCAAGCAGATACAGGCCCTTATCCCAGTACAAGAGACCCCAGTTTTTTGCTGGGGGATAAAAGTTATCTACAGACTCCAGCTATCAGTTGTTCTTCCAATTCAAGAGCGGCCAGTGTCAAAACATCATTCAGGTAGTTACCAAGAGCCCTAGGGTGGAGTGTTTATTCTAGATGATCAGGTTACAAAGAATGCGTAGCCCATGGTTGGGAAAAAAAAAAATAAAATTAGCAGCCTCACTCACCCACAGTAAAACAGAGTTGAACAACTGAAAGAAGCCAGGAGGTTCCTTCTACCACTAGTGCCAGTACGCATTTTGAAATACACAAATTCATCAAGAGTCACTTCAAAACCAAGTAGCCAAGTTCTGCTTTACACTCACCTCAGCTTTAAATCTTTCCAAGCCAGGAGAACAGGAGGAATTCTTGCTCTTTAGAAAAAGAACAGATATAGCAGCTAACACTCTAAAGCCAGGAAGCTCTTTTGCCCATTTCCAGTGCAGCGGAAACCAGTTTCTCAAGAGAGCAGTTTGACAGCTTTACTGAAACAGCACTACTGTCACAGTCAGATGGACTTCTGCCCATGAATACTTCTAGGGAAATAAAGGCCCTCTGCCTCTTCACTTAGGTAATATTGCAGTATTCTGGCAGTGCCATGCAGCTGTAAGGACTTTCATACTGCTTATTAGGCCAAAAGAACCAACTTGGCACAGACTAGAAGCCTTGGCTGGTCTGTCTCTAGGTTGTTTCTTTCAAAACTTTGTTTCAGTATAAACTGATTAAGCAGTTGGAATCAAAAAGATCTTACTTCAACATATACTGTCATGGTTTCCTCCTGAACCCCCTAGAAGCCCTGGAAACACAAGTTTAGTCTGTTCAAATTTAAATATTTAAACTATAGCAGCAAAACAAAGCAAAATGAAAAGAAAACCAGGAGAGGAAACTTCTCTTGAATAGCAGAATCACTTTGTGTGAACAACAGAGGTGCTGAACAATAGCTTCTGCTTCTGTTTCTTTCTTTTCTTGCCTCCCTTTTCCTCTGTGAAGAATTAAAATGATACTGTCATTCTTCTCATGGAGCAGGAACATCACACAGAAATGATAAATGGTCTTCCCTAGCCTAAATGACTTCTATGGGTCCGTGACACTTCCTATCAACTCACTGAGCACCAAGTAGTTTAATTTTAACAAAAAAATCACTGCAGACAAACTAAGGGAGACTCCATCACACCTAAAACACACCTATAAACATGCCTGATTCTAAAGCTGCTGTTGCAACAGCAGATCCCAGGACTGCAAGCGTGCAGCAGTTTGCCTTTCAGACAAGTATTGCTTTCATCTGTGTCCAACACTACAACTGGAGCTGATACTCAATTTCACTGAAACTCCCAGGCCCTCCCATCCAACTCTTTCCATCATTCAGTGCAGTCTCCAAACAGAAGCCAAAGCTAAACATCAGAACTGAGCATTATAATTGAGTTTGATCAGCCAGCACCAATAAGTTCATCTCAATTTGTTCCAGATTCCCTAATTTGAAATTTCAGCTAGCAGTTACCTTGACATTTTGGTCAAACTTAGTGGTAGTTCAGCAGCTCAGGTATTTTAAGTTTAAAAATGCATAACCTGAACTTCCTTGAGATAAAGCTTAAATTAAGTTCCAGTAGAGACATGGCAAACATGATTGTCAAAAGCCATCTTTGTCCTAACGGGATTCTTTCCTAGTTGGAGATCTCAGCTCCCACTAAGAGACCTGCTTTAAGCTAACAGAAGCCCTAGTCAAGCTGCTCAGAAACCACAACCTGACAATTTTCAGAACTGTTCTGCGGCCAATTTTTGGTCCCCAAAATTGCTGCTCTCACTTCTCCCAGAAGAAGAAAGGGAAATACTCAATATTTTAACTTCAAAAATTTTTCATGCCTTCCCCCCCGCCTTTTACCTGATAAATGATCAGCTGTGGACGGTTTGTCCAGTTTCAGGAGAGCTGCCTCAATAGCTTGGCTGAAGGAATTCTGGAAGCTGGGCACAGGTATGCGGTCAGAGCTGTCACTTTCTCCATCACTATCCACTGGCACAGGGAGTGCCAGAGTGTTCTCATCTGAAAGAAGGAAAGGGCCCTGAGAGGCAGAAGGCTGTATAAAACTTTCACAGTGCAAATGCCCCTCCACACTCCAGATGTTTCTTGTGAAGTTACAAGAGTTCTTAGATTTAGATGCATGGTAAAGAACCTGAAGTAGTAATACCGAATTTTCTTACCTCTTGTCTTTGGAGCAGGTTTGGGCCATGTTTCTGGTTTTGCCTTTCCAACTCTCAACATCTATCAAAAAAGTTGTAAGATATGATTAAATCCCATGTACTAGAACAATGCTGCATATCCCCTAAGTGGCAGGAAAATCTAGGAACCCCTTCAAGCACTCAAACCCTATGTTGTCTCCGTAAGATTTATCCCACATTGTTTTTGTGGGGGAAGCAATTGTGTTCTCAGGCTAATCCCCAACTAAAGACACAAGTAATTCGGACAAGATTTACTCTGCTACATGGCTTACCTGGGCAAAGGAAGGGAAGGGAGACTCTTCTTCTAAACTCCCACAGAGCAACGGGCTGACCTGGCTGGCAGTAGGTGACAGTGGAGTTGGAATAGACTCTACAGAGAAAGCAGCAGATAATTAAAGCCAGTTGCATTTGGCAAAGGCACTCATTATGCTGCTTATCAGGACGAAGCAGAAATAAAGTTTTATTATCTTATGTAATTAACCATTTTTATCTCATTGGTTCCACCCATTAGTCACACAGTGGGACCTCTCAAATTTCCTCAATCTTTTTATTTAAGGAAGATTTAAAGTTTGGGGGTTTTTTTTGTTTGGGGTTTTTTGTTTGCTTATTTTGGGGTGTTGTGTGTTTTTTTTCTTTTGGTTTTTTGGGGGGATTTTTTTTTTTCCCCAAAAACATTTTAGAATAGTTTCTATTTAATATTTTTTAATGAACTACAAGATAAAACATTTGGTAAAGCATCACTGGACAACAACCTAAGTGAGTGCTCATCAACTACGTTTTATTTTAGTATATATAAGTTTTAGTATAACCAATACGTTTAGTATTTAGTATACTAAATAACGTATTTATTTAGTACAATACCCTGTTTCTTTATTTTAGTATAACGTTTATTTTAGATGGAGAGGGTAGAAATTAAAAATGCCAGTAGTGTTTTCCTGGCATACACACTTTTCTTCCCTTTTGGGGGAATTTTTTTCCTTTCTTTTCTTCTGACTCAGCAAAGATTTAAAAGATGGGGTAACTACAGTGCAGATCTCATATTGTCACTGAAGTAGAGGTAGTAAAAAGCAGACAAAGGACCAGAATGTTTCTTAGCTGTGTCAGCTTTTTGTGTATGATCTCGTAGGCCATCTAGGAAAGAAGCAGTCTTTGATCAGTATTAATAAAGTTTAGCGTGATGACCTGAGCAGTAGATCCCAAAAGAATGATCAAGAGCTAGATGTGATGTGTTTTTCCAGATGCTCACCTGTCTGAAACACAGGGCTTCTGCCAAGAGGAGACA